AACAGCTACTGATGTTTTTGAGTTCCTTCGTGTTCGTTCATAGTATGCTGTCAGACGGACATAACGATAATGGACTGTATTTTTCTTTGATGTTAAAATATTTTTATTAGACATAATGCCAGCAACATAATGTTGCTATTTTTTTTAAGTACTGATGAGTTGTATGTTTGTGCCCTTGTTACGGCTCCAAATAAATTACATGCATACAAAAAGCACAGCTGTACGTTACAGAGCCAGAGAATTCTTTTTCAGCTATCAACCCGTGTCGTAAAACCGCCGAAACCAGTCCATGAACAGGGTTACCGTGCCCTTCGGCAGATCGTGGCCTTCACGCGCCTGCTTGTGCCCTCTGCGGCAATGTTATTGCCTTCTATTTACACCATCACACCAATATTTATGCAAGCTGCGCTCTTGCCACTGCGTATGAAAAAGAAAAGAAAACGCATCCACATGAAGCGGGGCATAACATAGAGGCAAATTCAGACCTGAGGCATTCCCATGGTATTCGAATGTTCCCAACCACAGCGGCAAACTGAGGAATGACATCACAGTCACAACTGAAGTTACAGTGGTGCTTCTGTGTGCGGCCGTGGGCGCATCATCAACCGATGCTTCAAATGAATAATAACTGAACGTTGTGAGCGAAAACTGAATTCGCACACCTTTCCAGAATCCAGAGTTACACAATGCTTTGACTGCTTGTGCGCTAACATATTGATATCTGCATGACTGCATGTGTGGCACAACCGTGTATTTCGATCCATAATATCCAGTCTCTGTGTTGCCAGTTGATTCACCCGCAAAACAGTACTAATTCCTAGTTCAGCTCCCATTTCTGACCCAAACATCCACCACAAAAATGTTTGATGCCACACTAGTCTCCAGTAAAATACCAGATATGGCAGACTAATTAAGTCCGTTTACTCCATTTTTGGACAGTGTCAGCCTCTCTCAGGATAGCTCAGATATGACCCTCTCGCACTTCTCTTCCAAAATCTTCACGGCTTCTGTGGAACAGCACCTCTGGGGGCAGAGCTCCGTGGACCTGATGGTGACTAGCGAGGAAAACACAATAGCCAAACACGGAGAATTAGAATGTTGCAGTGGACGCAAGAAAGTGCCACAGTGCTATCGTATCGGAAAACTTCTGTTCTGTGATGCAGCTGTCCAGCTATGAAGCTAATAATGAAAAAAACATTTTACTTAAGGAAAGATATAACTGAGTTCTTTACATATGAAGTGGTCTCTAACACGCCAGTTCGACTCTGATTCCATTTGTCCCATGACACATTCTCTACAGAGTGTGCATGCCCTTGGTTTTAACTGCCTCTTTCCACCTGTGAAAACAGTTTGAAGGGTTTATGGAATGGCAGATCGATCATAAAAAGCTTGGAGTCTGATTTATAGAAGACTAAATCCCCAAACAGTTTGTGCAATGGACATCCAGGTCAGTGTTACAGAAGTTTCTTTTGATCTCAGCTCTTAGCATCAAGTGTTCTAACACAGTTTCCAAATGAGAACTAAGAAAACCAGATAGTACATTTCTTCTAATTCTCCTTGGTTTTGTGTGCAAACTTCCAAACAATACCCATCAGAAACTTTGACTAAAACAGTGGTTGATACTGGTTAAGAATTTCAAATGCTTCAAACAATCAACTTGCTCCAACCAATCAATATATAAGATCTTGCTGATTGCTACCAAAGCTAAATACTGAGTCTCTGACACCTTTGCTACCTCAAGTTCAGCCTCTTAAAAAAGAAAGGGAAAGATAAATTACTCCAGTGCATTGTGGAGTCCTAAGCCAAGCTAATAATGAGGAGAGGTAGAGGTAGACCTAAATTGACATGTGGGGAGGCAATAAAAAGATATTTGAAAGCTTGGATATACCTAGAGATCTATGTTTGAATAGGAGTGCTTGGAAAAGCAGCTATTGATGTGCCTAAACCGTGGGCTCTTGGTGGGTTTCCAACTCTAGCCTACTCCCAACTTGTTTGGGACAGACAGCTTTTGTTGTTGTTGTTGTTGTTGTTGTAAAGAGAAATTACCATTACCCAGGTCTTCAATGTCAAAAAACATTGAATGGGCACTTTCTTTTTACTAGCCTCCGCATCATCATCATCTTCAATTTCTTTTGAGAATAACAACCACACATGATAATATAACAATATAGAATCAGGACACAAGCTAATGGATACAGTTATTCACCATCTTGTTGTAAATGTAAAAGTAGTTAAAACAATTTTACCTCAGGGCATTCTGTACCAGGCCATAGCAACTGGAGACCACTTGGGCATGAACTTTCCTAACTCCCTTTAACAGCATGTGCCTCGAGCTCAATAGCCTATAAAAGAACAAATTAAATTACAAAGTACAATTACCCCAATGGAAATGATTCTTAGAGAAAAAATAACTGGTATAATGGACAAATTATCTTTACAAATTTTAAATCTGGCATGCACACAAAGTCACACAATGAATTCAAATCACCAACATAGTTTATTTCTATGATATGAGTTAAGGAAGCTGTTCGTGAAAAAGCTATTGGCTGCATACATTAAAACTCCGCAATTTCCACTGGACTCCATTTTTACCATGTGGACTCATTCATGCAACAAAGTATCTTAATCAAAATATTGAATCAAGAAGTGCAAAAGATGTAGGTACACCTAGTCATATCACAACGGTGCCAAGAAAACAAGTCACACAGCTACCTGTCCTGGCCCAAGCCTGGCAATAGTAATATCTTTAAACTTCACACCAAGAGGCTTTTCTAAGATCTCCTTTTGGCTTTGACTGAAGGAAGTGAAAGTCTTCTGTTTGTCCCCAGACTGCGCAGGGGCTGCCATGCTTAATTGGCTACCTTCTGGTAGCCACTCTAGTTCACTAGATTTCACTGTCACAGACAACCAAGCAGTTAACACTTACAAGTTACACTACTAGAAAATCTCAACCATCCTTCTCCGGAAATCTGATTTATGCTGACAAGAAAAGAGAAATATAATGAGGCAAAGGATCATATTTCAACTCACTACAGTTTTTTTTTCTTTAGCAACAATTATTTAATGACAGAGTGCGAAGATGCCAACTTGAGGTAAGCAAAACCCATTAACAAGGAAACTACAAATGGAAAGTTTAACTTGTCACTACAGTACACCCTTAGTAAATCGTTTATTACATGTCACATAAGTACAGATGAGTTTAACTGTGCTTTCCAATTTGAACAATGAGATATTCTTCCAATAAGGCAACATGGGGCATGGAATTTCATTTTGAAAGATGACAGGAATATGTACCCAGCAGACATTGCAGGAAGATAAGGACATACCCCAATTCATTGAGAACCTTTGGACATGAAACATGCAGTTTATAAACAATAGTATTCCTTTCATTTGGGGACATCATTTTCTGTGAAAATAGAAAGGAACAATAGGATGGCTCTTGTGTTAAATGTATAGGTGAAGCTAGAGCAATTGAAGTTATTTACCTGAGATATAATCAAAAAGCCTTGGATCTGCATGAAGTGGAATAAGTCCTAGTCTATAATGAAAGAACCTCATCTGCTATAACTGAGGTGTTGTCAACCATGAATATTTTCTCAATTGCCATAGTAGGAACCTGCTAGTTCAGAGGAAGTATTAAATTAAGCACTTATTGATACAGAACTCCGATACATATGAAGTGCTAAAATAAAGAAGAAAGTTCTTGGATATCTTATCGCATACACATGAAAACATGCAAATACCTCTGCGATGAGGATTCTTCGAATGCATTAGCTATTGATGCATCAATACCAATCATATCAAACTCCATATCATCTTCTTCAGTGAGACGATTTATTTCAATTTTGAAGTTTTTGCAAAACTTCTCCACTGACACGCTATTATCAACTCCCATAGCAGCAAATGCACCTGAGTGTTGGATCCCTTGAGTCTTTTAAACATACAAGAGAAACATAAAATGTAATATATGAGACCAATAATAGAAATGAATGAAGTTCATATCAATAAAGAGGAAATTATTTCACAAAAATAATAAAGCAAAACAAATACAAACAATTTCTAGCACGATTCAAGGAATAAATTTCAACAAGACAAAAAAAAATCAAGCTTAAAATATCAGTAAGAATGAAAATGATTATTTCACAGAGAATTTTGTGTGCATAGCAGCAAATTCAATACTGCACTTAACAAGATAGAAAAAAAAAGATCAAGTAACTTGTTCGATCCTTTATCAGAAGAAAATAGCACACAAACTTCATGGTGAAAAACAAATTAATTTTCCGTGTTCAGTGAAGTAATCAATTAAACGCATAATGTCAAAACATCTATGCATCTATGTGAAACTAAGTTCCTATGCAAGATAAAGTTATCAGCACACTAAATTCATGCGAAAATCACTGAATATATCACAGACAATTTCACCACAAAACATGTGCAAAGCTAGTCATGCAGGTGATCATGAGTAACAAATGCAAAGACATGAAAGAAGAGTAGCATAAAATGTGTGTTCATGAATGGGGGGGGGGGGGGCATCAGCATTGCAGACAACACGTGAACATGAAAGAAAAGTAGCATAAAATGTGTACATGAATGGGGGCATCAGCATTGCAGACAACACGTGTGCGCTGGAGTTCCAGGTAGTCTGGAAGCTTATTTTCTTGTTGATTGGGAACATTATCCACCTCCTTCTTAGATTTAGTCCCCTTCTTTGGCATATTGTCTTCCTTTCTATGCTTCTTCGTTCACTCTTGTTCCACTGTTATGTCCTGTTCCCAATGCGATAAGGAGACAATAGTCAGTGAATGTCTGTGCCTGAGCAGCACGGATACAGATACGGATATTGGGATGTTACAGATACACCGATATGGCATTGTTCCCAGAAAAAACCGAATAAGCAGATACAGTACGTCTTAGTATTTGTTTAATAAATAAATAATAGTGCAGATAGCAGTCTACTTAAGTTCTACTATTACATAACACACATAGTCTCAAATCTGTTAAAATTATAAAGGGCATTAGGGCAGTGCAGGACTGCAGGCTTCAGCTCAAGCTACTTCATCCCCACTGCCTCATTTTCCCATCTCCCCACAATAGCAGCCTCTTGGGGAGCAGGAAATCAAAAGGAAAAGAAATGAAGAACAAGTGGACGGTTCAGAATCGGGAAAAAGAAATGATGAAAACAAATTCACTACAAGTTGGATCAAAATACGAAGAAAGGAATCAATCCAGAGGAGAACGGCAAACTCACCGGAGATTGCGCTTGTGGCGGCCGGCGGGGTGATTGGAGGTGGCGCTCGTGTGTGCTGCGTGTCGGGCGTCCGCGCTCGTCCTTGTCAGCAGCGCCTCGCGGCGTAGGGGCAGGGCTTATGCGTGATGAGTCTGCCGTTGCCACTCCTCTTGCCGGCGGCGGCGCTCGTGCGGGCGGGCGGGCGGGCGCCACTCCTCTTAAGCGTCCAGGGACGAGAGCTGCTGAACGTGAACCCGATGGGGCTGGACTCTGGAGGGTGCTCTATGGGCTGGGCTGGGCCGTGTCTGCTGAATACGCAAATACGTGTCGGCCCACGTATTGAGTTTTTGCTGTTATACGAGTGACCACAGACCAGGGACGTGTGCGTTCCAAGCGAACGCTCCTCCTTTTCTTTCTCGCGTTCACTTCACCCCTGCCTCCCCTGCCTCTGTCTGCTTTAGACGAGCGGCGACGGGTCCTTTGCCGGGCGACGAGCACGCCGACCTGGTACGCCGCCCCTCCTCTCTCCTTCCTGCTATTTGCTGTGCGAAACAGAGCACCCCAGAGACCCTAATGTGAGCTATTTGTATTCGGATCTGACCTAATTTCAAGCATATACATGTCGCACTGATCTGATCCATCAGACCCCCGGTTCTGAGGCGATTAGATTCGGCTCTCCTTTGCCAGTGACGCGGGGTCGTTGTCAGTTGACGCCATTGGAATTGGGGCGCAACACGCGGGTGGTGCATTTCAGTTTGTTTCGCCGAATTGGGTTTGGGCTGAATTCGGAGTTGAGATCGCAACGGTGAGTCCGTTCCCGTGGCCCGTGAGTGATCCGGGATTCGTCATGGCGTGATTCTCTGTTGGATTAGAGGGGATGCCAAGGCTCGTCATGGCATTGCAACGATCCTTAATTTGTTATGCATGTACACAGTTCCAGATTACACAATTGCAAATCAAGACTCTTGTAGTTTGAGGTGGGTCCAAATTACCCCCTTTTGGCCAACAGAAGTATGATTGGCATAGAATCACAACTAGTGCTATTTCAGTAGCACTTCTACCACATTATGGTTGTGCTACGGTAAACGTAGGTTACACAATTCTACATGAGATGTAATGATGTGGAACATACTTTAGGCCTTGTTTTGATATCAAGTTTTATGAAAACTAGATTTCTTAAAAGTCAGTGTTAGTTTATTATTTAGAAAAAAAACATTTTTGTTTAACATGAAGATAAGAAAACCTGCTTTCTAGCAAACTCAAAAGTCCACGTTTTGGCAAAATCTGCTGTGTCCGTTTATGTGGATTCATTCAATCATTCACATGAATTCAGCTTTGATGATGAGGATAATTTGCATGGTCACTAACAGTGTGTCATTCGTCTAACATAAAACAGGTTGAGCACTTGCAATCCAAAAACATAAATGTATAAACCAACAATAACATAATAGCTACTTTAAGACTTATTTTTCTAAATTTCCTAATAGAAAACGTTCTCTAATAACTGGTTTCTAATCTTGAAATCCAAACAACAATTTATTGTGCCTGTATCCTTGAATGACTTGTTGTCTGACTCCTATTTTATTCAGTTACCACGGCAGCGATGAATACTGATATGGGAGGCTTAGGTGGCAGGCCGACAAATCCACAAGCAAATCCTTTTGGAACTGCCTTGCATGGTGCTGGACCAGGACTGATCCGTACTGGGCTAGAAGCATATGGGGGGAGGTTTTTAGATTCAAGTTCTGAGTTTATGCAGAGCAATGTAAATTTGTACACAGGTTTCATGTTTAGAGATTAGTGTATCTATCTTGGAACTAGAAAGGCTAAACCTCACTCTATTTTTGTCAGATAACACAATATTTGTCTGACCCTCAGTACTACTTTCAAGTCAACAGCCAGTATGTGAGGAACAAACTGAAGGTCATCTTGTTCCCTTTCTTGCACAGGGTAAAGGGCTGGTGACCTTTTATTTATGTCTGCAGGATTTTGCATTTTGTGAAGTCTCGCAACATATGTCTGACCTTTATTGTCTTCCTTAAGGGTCACTGGACAAGAATAACTGAACCAGTAGGAGGAAGGCTGTCCTACAAACCTCCAGTCCAGGATATCAATGCACCGGACTTGTACATCCCTTTGATGGCATTTGGCACCTACATTGTAGTTGCTGGGTATGCCTTGGGTGTTCTTGGAAGGTAAATACTCTGTTAATGACTTCTTTTGTTTCATCTGGAATTAGACAAGAACATTGTACTAGCAGCACACAAGAAATGCAAATAAATTTATTGAACAATGCGTCTTACATGATTTGTGATTCACCTTGAGGCGCATCCTTTGTGATGCAGGTTTACCCCTGAGGCACTGACCCTACAGTTTTCTAAAGGGATACTTGGCTGGTTTCTGCAAGTCATCCTCATCAAAGGTCTGCTGTACTCCCTGGGCAGCGGTGAAGCTCCATTGCTGGACATTGTGGCATATGCTGGATATGGTTTCGCTGGCACTTCCCTTGCAATGCTGGCCCGCATCTTCTGGAACTATCTGTATTACTTCATCATGCCATGGTTCTGCATCTGCACGGGAGTCTTCCTTGTGAAGACCATGAAGAGGGTACTTCTGGGCGGACCAAGGAGCTATGAGAGACACCCCAGCCGGAACCACTACTTCCTGCTCTTCTTGGCGGTTGTGCAATTCCCTATGCTGTTCTGGCTCGGCAACATCAGTGGCTGATCTTTGATCCTATGGTCAGGACACGAACATCATTTCTGAGAGGCCGCTGAGCAGAATAGACATGTGGTACTTCTTGCTTGCTGATGAATCTTAGGTTATCGTGTAGATGCTACAGAACCATTAGCTATAGATATCTGGGCAAGCAAATGAAAGGTACTCCTTTTGTTTCTGTTGGAGGCGAATGTAACCATGACCGTTTGGGATAGGATAAAGATGAACTGCTTCGTTCGAATCTGACTTGTTCTCTATGATCATGCTACTTGATGTTTCAGTTTTGGTTCAATATGTTCACGGCAGGTTTGTTTAGTCATCAGATGTATGAGTTGCGTGTTGTTTGGTTGATCTAATTGTGTTGCTTTCCAGAGTTCAGGCATGTAGGGAGTTTAACTCCTGTTTGGTAAAGCTAGTGATTTCAGGGACCTCTTACCAAACGGCAATTTGTATAGGGTATCCTGGGAGCTGGAAAAACAACCTTCTGTGATTCACTCATCTCTTGAGTCTTGGTACACTTCTTCCTCTACAAAGTTTATTCTAGAGAATGATTTCCCTTATATAGATAATACTGAACATGCCCTAAAGCTCCTGCGTCTGGACTCTCGAGGCCAGAGTGTTCGCTTGGTACCGCTATGTAAACAATTTTCCCTTATATAGATTTTGCCAAGTCGCACTGCTCGTCCTCCTCCTTTTCTTGCTAGTCAACCCAACCAAACACAGGACCGGGAGGAAAGATCAGGCACGCACAAGAACTATCAGCAATTCAGCCATGTCTCACAGGTGAACTTAAAACAGAACTACCACAACACAACTGGCATACATGCCATAAAACAAATTTGCACACCATCGTTCCAAATTATTACACATTTTGATTTTTCTACATACATTGCTTTTACTATGTATTTAGATATAGTATATGTCCATATAAAAAATTACATATCTAGACAAACCAAAACATCAAACGCCTTATAATTTGGAATGAAGGAAGTACTTACCAATTAACTCTGCCAAACATATCGTTCAAAAAACTGTGTCGGCATATAAAAATTAATTAGCATGTCCTAATCTCTTTTGCCAGTGTTGCCGCAGATCAAACTATCTGGATGTCCACAAGTGACGGAAGATACAAAATTCTACCGCCTGAGAGCATCTTGCTCTTGCGTTATTCAAAGGCCGAAGGGGAAATTACTACTTCTATTAGTCATGTTTAATTATTAACAGCGTAAGGTTGGGAAAAGGCAGCATTTGTGAAAAGCTTCAAGCAGCCTTGTTCTTGCAGTAGCTCTCCAGCCACTCCATGGTAACACTCTTCGGCCTCTCAAGTGGCAGGCCAAGGGCACGGTCCCAGATGAGCTGCATCATAGATAATCAAACAAAAATAGCCAGCAGAACTACTAGAAGAAAGTATGTAAAGAGAAGGTCGAAGGCAGACCTGAGATCCTATCCCCATGCTTCTCGAAACACCGAACAAGACTGTGTAATACCTGCACAGTTAGTGTTCCAGACATGAGTGCTCATTCAGAACTAGATTTGCTAAGTAAAAAGAAAAAACAGGACTAAATTAGTATCTAAATGACAAGCATAAACATACCGTGCTTCTGATAGTCCAAAGTGGTTCAGCAAAACTCCACTGTGAGCATCAACATTCGGCCATGGGTTCTTGACCTGAGACATGGGCAAAGAATGGCGTTCATAACCAGTAAACTCAAACCAAAAGGGTGGTAAATCATGATCAATCTGGTACTGCTTTACCTTGCCCAGCTCAGTGAGGATCGGAGGTACAACTTCATACAACTTGGACACCTGTAACGGAATATTACATTTAAAATTGTTCAACTCAAGAAAGTTAATGCAATTAGATAAAGGTTCTAGACGGACCAGTTGGAAAAGTGGATCCTCGGGCAAATGCTTCAGGGCAAACTCCCTTTGACATGAATACCGTGGGTCTGTCTTACGCAGAACTCCATGACCAAACCCAGGAACAACCTATGATTGAATGTAAGCATCAGAGAGATATCACTTTCATATACAGTCAAAGACACAACTCTATCAGACCTACTGCACATCATTCAAATCTCAGTGAATTGATATAGCTTTCCTACAGGAAACAAAACTGTGTTCGAGCATGATCACAAACACTAGACCTCAGTGAACTGATATACCTTTCCACTCTTTAGTGTCTTCCAGACATAGTCTTTGAGTTGATCTGTTGTAACATCACTCCCAGTTTCCTCAATTACAGATTTGATCCATAGAAGAACTTCCTGCAATATATGGTAAGTTCATACACACAACAACAGCAAGTATATAAAAATACAAGCTACAGGAAAAATATGTTTCTTCTTTCAGAGATGAGGTGCATTACATATCAAGTGGGCGATCTAGTAAAATGGTACTCCATCCATCACCCGGTTCTCCAGCATCTACGTCAGCTGCTTCGCCTACCGCTTCTTTTTTGCTAGCAGTGGCATCGCTGCTCTTGGCCACCTCTCTGGTTCTCGATTGTCCAGTCTTGTTGGTAGTGGTGTGTTAGGCCCTGTTTTTGGTGACGCTGCTCTAAATTGTATGGGTTGTAAACTTGGCAAACAGTTGCAACTCCCTATCCCTCTAGTGAGTCTAAATCCCAGAGACCTTTTGATCATGTTCACTCTCGATGTATGGGGTCCTGCACCTTTAGTTTCAAAAAAGGAAGGCAATCATATTATGTTCTTTTCATTGATGACTATTCGAGATTTACTTGGATTTATCTCGATGTCCTCTCGAGGTCAATTTCTTTCTATTTACCATCAATTTGCTACCATGATCCGTTACTCGGTATAACTCTCCCATTCGAGTTTTTCGTGCTGATTCTGCTGGTGAGTACATCTCCACTGCTCATCGCTCCTACCTTGCTGAGCAGGGTACTCTTGCCCAATTTTCATGTCCTGGTGCTCATGCTCAGAATGGTGTTGCTAAGCGCACGCATCGCCACATTCTTGAGACTGCTCGTGCTCTCTTGATCTCTTCTGCACTTGCTCCTCATTTCTGGGCTGAGGCGGTTTCTATGGCTGTTTTCCAAATCATCAACCATCTACTTCTCTTAAGGGTTGCACTCCCTATGAGCTTCTTTTCGGCACCCCTCCTTCCTATAGCCATCTCCGTTGTTTTGGGTGTGTCTGTTATGTCCTACTTCCACCTCGTGAGCGCACCAAACTCACTGCTCAGTCTGTTGAGTGTGTTTTCCTTGGGTACAGTACGGAACACAAGGGCTATTGCTGCTATGACCCTGTTGCTCAGCGAATGAGGATTTCTCGGGATGTCACCTTTGATGAGTCCCGACCTTACTATCCTCGTTCCCCTTCCGGTGATCCTGGTACTGCTGAGTCCCTCTCGTTTCTCACTTTACCTGAGTGGTATCTTCCGCTGTCATCTCCACCTCCGCCACCTTCTCCTACCTCTTCACCTCCGTCACCTCCTCCTACCTCTCCACCTTCACCACCTCCTCCTACCTCTCCACCACCAGTCTCTCCTCCATCACCAGGCGCCCTTCCCGTGAGATCACTCACTACTACACTTTCGTCGTCCACGCCACTGCACCGCCACTTGACTCTTCCCCGTCCGTCCTTGGACCTCATCCTGAGTCTCCTCCTCGCTATGCTCTTCGTGACCGCAGCACCCTTCGTCCTCCCGATCGCTTTGGCTTCACTGCTGCCGCTTTGGCTGAGCCCGCGACCTATCGGGAAGCTGCTGCTCACCCGGAGTGGCAGCACGCTATGGCTGAGGAGATTGCTGCCCTTGAGCGTACTAGCACCTGGGATCTTGTTCCTTTACCACCTCATGTCACTCCTATCACTTGCAAGTGGGTGTACAAGGTAAAGACCCGCTCGGATGGCTCTCTTGAGCGCTACAAGGCTCGTCTCGTGGCGCGCGGCTTCCAACAGGAGCAAGGTCATGACTATGAGGATACTTTCGCTCCTGTCGCTCACATGACTATTGTTCGGACTTTTCTTGCAGTTGCTTCCGTTCGTCAGTGGTCGATTTCTCAGTTGGATGTCAAGAACCCCTTCCTCAATGGTAAGCTCCGTGAGGAAGTCTATATGCAGCCACCTCCAGGGTACTTCGTTCTGGATGGGATGGTTTGTCGGTTGCGTCGTTCCCTCTATGGTCTTAAGCAAGCTCCTCGTGCTTGGTTCGAGCGTTTTTCCTCTGTTGTCATCGATGCTAGCTTCAAGCCTAGTGACCATGATCCTGCTCTTTTTGTTCACACTTCTCATGGTCGCACACTTCTTCTTCTCTATGTCTATGATATGATCATCACGGTGACGACTCTCAAAGACATTGCCTTTGTGGAGCGGCGTCTCAAAGGCGACATTCCTCATGTCCTGGTTTAGGTCCTCTTCGTTACTTCCTTGGTCTTGAGGTCACCTCCACATTTGATGGTATTTTCTCTCAGAGAAGTACACTCAGACCTCCTTTCTCGTCTTTGCTCTCACCGATCGCCAGACTTGTTGACACTCATATGGAGCTTAGTGTTCACCTCCACCCACCGACGGTGCACCACTTGGCTTGATCCCACTCGCTATCGTCGACTTTGTTGGGAGCCTTGTCTATCTTGGGATCACCCATCCCGATATTACTCACTCTATTCATATCTTGAGTCGGTTTGTCTCGGCTCCTACCAGCTCCACTATGCTCACCTACTTACGTGTTCTATGATACCTTCGTGGAACCATCTCTCGCCGCCTTTTCTTCCCTCGTTCTAGTTCTCTCCACCTTCAGCGCGTGACGACGCGACACTGGGCGGGTGATCCCACCGATCGCTACTCTCTCTCAAACTTATTATGTTTTCCTTGGCTCCTCCTTGATTGCTGGAAAACCAAGAAGTGATCTGTAGTTTCCTTTCGAGTCGAGGCCGAGGCTGCGATGCTATGGTGATGTGGATCAGAGAGGTGACATGGCTACGATGGCTTCTTGAGGATTTTGGTGTGTCTCACATCGCACCCCTCCTCTCTCTCATCGACAAACCTTTGGTGCAATCGGATGATGCTCGGGATCCGTCAAGCATGAGCTCACCAAACATATTGGCGTTGATGCTTCCTACATGAGATCGCAGTGCATGATCGAGGTTGTGTCCCTCCACCACGTGCCTTCAGAGGTTCAATGCCTAGCCGATTTCTTCACCAAGGCATGTACACGGGCCCATCATAGATTCTTGCTCTCCAAACTCAAAGTGTTGTAGATCCACCGTGAGTTTGAGGGGGGGTGTTAGATGTATAGATGTACTTTGTATTTTCCCTCTACCTGGAGGGGCTCTTTGCATATGTACACACATGTATACTTGCCCCTTTGAGCCTGGAATAGAAGCTGGTTGGCCACTTGTTCTAACAGGTGCAAGTGGGGCCGGATGGAAACTTTTTTTTTTCAAAATATACAAGTAAAAGGAAGCACAAGGCGGAGATTAAGTACCAGATCAGATCTAGTTTGTCAAACTGAGCATACCTGATTTGCAAGGCCATGCAGCGGCCCAGCTAACCCATTCAGAGCCGCTGCAAAAGAAAGATAAGGATCTGATAGAGCACTCCCAACCTGCATGTGGATGAGTACCATGAGCAGAAGATAAAGTCAAACCCTTAGGATGGCAAAAAAAAAACAGTAGCTAGCAGGTTGCAAGCAATTATAGGATTAAAATGGCAAAAAAAAAGGATTAAAATGGCCAGTGTCGAACAGCAATAATTCTCTCCACATACACGTATCATGAAGTTCTCTACTCCAACCTAGAGGAATTGCTCCACTACGAATTAAGAGTACACAATAAAATATATTTCTACAACTACATTGATCCTGGACCCTCTTCCAAGGTGACACATTATGATCCTCACATGGAGCTCTCCTGATCTACAATAGCCCACACAGGGGGAAACTGATAGAGTGTAATAACAGACCCCGACTACTGTTAGAACTGAAATTTTATACTCGCTACTATGGAATACAACAAAGACAGAGCAAGGAATACAGTTGAGTCCTGACGAATCATGATTAAATTAGCAAAGTATCAGCTAAAATTAACCCTCTTATCCTTTTCCAGGTTCCAGTTCCTAATAAGTGCTATCATGCACTGTTTAAAGATGTATTTCCAGATTAACAATTCAGTTCGTTTTTCCAGATTAACAATTCAGTTCGTTTTAACAGTACATACTAGAGTATTGTCACATGCTTAATAATCACATTGCACCAAACCAAAAGCAAAGTGCCATAATGGTACAAGATATCACACTAACAGCTGTCATTGTCTTGGCATGTTAAGAAACACTAATGAAAAAATCAAGATCACAACAAGAGAACAAATATTACCAGATGACCAGTATGAGCACTGACATTCCCGCCTTCATGATCACTAGAAGAACACAGGTCACAGTATGAGGCGAAAACAACAAGTACCGAATAACCGAAACATAACAAAAATAGAAACAAGGATGGATGCAAAATTACGTGTGAATTGTTACATAGAGCCGCATCAGCTCCAGCATTTTGGGGTCATCAAAACCAAGCATGTGTGAGAAATTTGCCGCATAATCCAGAGAATTATCAGCTTCTATTGATTTCCCACCCTTGAAAATTCTTCAAAGAACAAATGAGTATTATTCATTAATTCTAAAATTTGTACACAACTTTAACTTCACGAAATTTGACTGATGTCACCTCCAGTAAGTGCATTAAAATTGAAGCATTTCAAAACAAAAGCTACCTCTGGTAAACATAAGAAGCCACTGGCGGAAGCCGAGCAATCAAATTTAAGCAGTCTTCATAAGTAGGCTCCCAAAACCTATACAAATAATAATTGTGAACACCATGGAAAGCAACCACTGAACACATAAGAAAATGGGTGGCAGTACAAATCCCAAGTTTACTTTGATTTTGGCAATCCATTGTCGTAAGCTTTTTGAAATTCACTCTCAACCTGAAATGGAGTTTAAAAATGGAAACTAAGTCACTTTCGAGGCTTTAGAATTTACAAACAGCATCCACGACACAATGGGAAATAATTTAAATACCAATTGCATCCAGTTCTAAAAAATGCAATAGATCGCAAGGAAATGTGATTTTATTTCACAATTATGATATTATACTTAGAAGAGACAGCATACCGGAAGTGGAAGGACTCACCTGAAGAGCCATTACTCCCGTGGTAAACTGTGTCATAGGATGTGCAGTTACTGGGAGAGCATCTATTGCCTTATAGACATGAGCTGCAACCATATTAATTATCAGCTGCTAGAGAGCAAAGTGGCAAGATGGAGCATACAAAGTTAACACAGTCATACTAACAGAAACATATAAACCTCTCTATTAATCTGTGACTACCTTTGAATTTTAGAACAGGGGGACATTAGCATCAATTCGTTCAGATGATTTGTAGATTTAACTGGTCAAAACAATAACACAAGTAGCCAGCAGTGTGTTCAAAATACCTGGGACAGTTGAGCGCGCAAGCAATTCCTTTGATAGAGCATCAACTTGCTCTTTGGTTGGGACCTGCAACAAGAAAAAACACACAGGCTCAAAACTTATAGAAATAGGGTGAGAATTGCGGAAAACTGAAATATATTAAAGGAATGGCAATACAAAGATAAGCAAGAAACGTGTCCCCATTCTTAATCAACAATAAATATTTCCCTAGTTTTACGGAACACTTTTGGCACATTTGTAAATTAAAATTAAATGAATATAGGCAGGCATATACCTTCCCCGTCAAAAGAAGCCAAAGGAGACCCTCAGGCAAAGGTTCACCACCCTTAACTGCTGTTGGCAGCACTTTCTGGCACTCTGGAATTGAGAGGCCCCTAAAACGAATACCCTGGATAGAAAAGAAGTGGTTATTTATTACTGAATGAATGTGCTTCACTTTGAAGTTTATAAATATGTTAATGTCGAAACTAGATTATTACATCCAACAATAAAGATGATGAGTGATGTGCACCCAGCCATTCAGGTTTGACAAGCTCAAAATCAACCCCAATAAAGAAACAAGAAATGCAGCTATCATGCTAAAAGAAAATGCCTTAAAAACAATTATAACCTTCAACTACAGCAAATTCATGTGCTATAGTAAATTGTTAGAAAATTTTCCATGTATCTTCTATAGATCTTGTGTAATAGTTAATTAAATTTGGAACTGTGTACATATTTTGACATAGAATGGGCATGAGCTAATAGTACACTATGCTAACATAGCATCATGACGAGGATGCATGCAAGATACCTCCTCTGGGTCAAGTAGGGATGTTTCCCAAAGCATTCCAATCATCCCTCTCATTCCACCAAGGACCTGCAGGAACATTATTCAGGAATTTCACATGATAAGTTAATATATGCTCTAGAAAAGCAACAGAACTATCCATAGACAATTGATAAGCAGTATATCATACCATATCCACAGTTATGTTTCCAAGCTGGACCTTTCCGTGCTCTGACTTAAGCTTCTTTAAGCGATCCTGTAACAAGACAGACTAACATTTGAGAACAGCAAGGCCAGATGAACAGGTGTTCATATTTCACGAAGACAAGTGGTTAGATAAACAAGTGTGAAGTAGATTCTCTAAAACTTTATTATTCTAAATCTGCCAACTACAGCTAGGTGCAAAACGTGCAGACTAATTTCCTCTGACAGAAGAGGGAATAGAATTGATGTAACAGTTGGTGCTACTTTCAGACAAGCAATTCCTTTCATGTTCCATCACATGTTTGAGATGAAAATGTATCCACATGTTTGAGGTGAAAATGCATTGGACACAGAAATACATGAGCTTAAAGAAAAGGGATACATGAGCTTAAAGAAAAGAGATTGAGCTAAAAGAGAAGGGAGTGACACTATTTGCTAGTATCGGCTAAAAGAACAGAAGATAAGGCATCAGATACCCCCAGGAACTTTTCGAAGTATCAGCTAAAAGAACAGAAGATAAGGCATCAGATACCCCCAGGAACTTTTCGACTTTACAAGATTAATAGATGGTCTACGAGAAGCAAACCTGCTGTTCTGGAATCAATTCCTGCAACTGGGACTTAAGATCCTGCATTTGCAGAAACACAATCAGCATCCAATCCAGAGTACACAAAACTGTACCGCAAGGTACAACAGTTAGACGAACTGTCTTACGAGATCGGACGCGCTCTGCATCTGCAGCCATCTCACACCGCCCAGCGTGGTGGCCTCCTGCGCCTGGCAACACGAACAGCACGGGGAAAAAAAATCTCAGCACGACAGCCCCCACAACCGGTGAAGCAGCATACACAAAAGGACAAAGCGCCACCGCTCAATGGACCACTCACCATGCGGGATCGCAGTCTCGAGACCGCGGTGAGGCCCCGGAAGAACGCCATGGCCGGAGCGCTCGGCTACGACCGCACCTGGGCAGACACAGCAACCAAACAAACAGACGGTCTCATCAGGTTACCGCAGCCGAATTCAACCGAAACCCCCAAAGGACAAAGGAAGTAGGGGAAGCAAACGGATAATTACTACACCGCCCCACCACGCAGCAAACAAATCCGCGGCAGAGCGTGGGGGCAGATTGGAGACGAAGATGGGGTTGGGTTCGAGGGCTCGCGATGGAGAAGAGATCCCAACGAATAGAACGAACAATTACGCCTAGACTTGCTTACCAAGGAATGCAAGAGACACGGGCGGGCGAGGACGGGACCGCGTGTTCCGCGGCGAGGGAGGAGGGGAGCCTGAGAAGTTGGGGGAGGAATTGGGGCTGGTCGTCGGCCTCGGTTGGTGAGGGGCGGCGAGCCGAATATATACGGGGGCTTGAGGAAGTCGTGTGCCACCTGCCAGATGCCGGACACATACACATGGCTCCATTAATATCTTTCGAATGCCTTTTGGATTAACTTTGCTGATTCGGCTGGCAGAAACTTGGTTGGAAAAATACTGTTCTAGTTAAATTATTGTGGGAGAAAAATATTGTTTTGACTGAAAAAACAAGCCGAATAGTACCGTTTTTAAGGTAAGCTAGGGCCTTAAGAGCATCTCTAAGAGTTTGCTATCTCAACTTGGCATCCATATAATTTTGACAAAACAAGAAAAAATAGCCTCTAACAGTTTGACAAAACAACTTGGCATTAATAGCAACTTGACAAATCTTCCCTCCGCACGCGCAAATATACGCGCGTGTATATGGCTTGGTATCCGGGGCTCTTCGTTTCTTAGCGGGGCTCTTCGTTCACTTAGCGGGGCTCTTCGTTCGCTTAGCGGGCATCTTCGTTTTGTTAACGGGTTTTTTTATTTTAATGCCAAACTCTTGGAGATGGATTATTTTTTTACTTGGCATATAATTTTAGGAGTTGACAAATCACAAGATTTGCCAAGTAAAATTTGACAAATTCTTGGAGATGCTCTAAGTTTTTGCCATTTTGGGGAGTTAGAAGAAATCCGGGTGGCATATACAAATTTGTAAATATAAAGCTAGAAGTGTTTTCTACTAACAAACAGTTCGAATTAATATTATGGTCATTTTTGTGAGTTTTGCGTTGGATTTGAGATACTAGTAGGAGAAAAATATCTGAGACAACAATTCCGTTGTTCTATCTATGAAAGGTTCCTTTTCTTTTTAGTACATCCATGAAAGGCTGTTTCAGGTTTCAACAAAGCCCAAAAGGCGTAGAAAAGAACAACACGGGTACGGCTTTTAAGCTCCAGGCATGAAAGCCATCCCTTTCAGTCGTCCATAATATGGGATCAAGCTATAGTTACAGATTAATAAATACTAGCACTGTAATATGTAAAATGAAGAATGAAGAGTGTAACGCAACTACAAAGACAGAAAATCTGATGCAACGCGTGCCTCTTCCATATCGACTCCCCGAGAAAGAAAGGGACATCGGTTTTTTTTTTTTTTTTCTCTCGTGAGGTAGACGGTTGTGAGTTGTGGCGCTGGCCCGTTCGGCTTACCTTATATTCTGATTTATTCGACTTTGTTTTTCAGCCTGAACAGTGTTTTTCTCTCACAACAATTCAGCCGGAACAGTATTTTCAGCCAATTTCAGCCAAGCGAACGGGGCCATGATCCTGATTGTTTAGAAAGGTTGATTGCAGGTCAATGATTTGAATTTGGTAGCTAGACAACACTTTGCCACCTAGAAAGCGAGATGGCATCACACTTTCATTGATGGAAAAAGAATGAAACCCTAATGAAGGTCATTGTAGGGTTCGTTATCTTAAAAAAAATAACGAAATTTGAGGGTTCTTTGTTATATAAGTGAAACGATTCATGATTTTCTTAAAGAGAAATCCACAAATTACATTATAATGTGATAGTCCAAAAAGACTAAGCTATCACATTATCATTATTCAGTTGATACCACAGTTCATACATCGAGGAATTACAAGTTTATAAGATATTACAACACTTGGTAACACACCTAAGTACAACATATACTAGCGGAAACGCACACAGATCAGCATCAGAGTAGACATAGCGCGTTGGTGGGTGAAGGCTCCTCTTTCACGGGCAATCATCAGAGTAGGCGTAGAGTATCAGTGGACGTAGACTTCATCTCCTCAACCAAACTTGAGCGTAGGAACGACCTAATCCTTCTAATCTCCATTGTCGTCGTCGTATATGACATTCAAACCTACCAAATATCTTTCAGTACGATTTGTATAGCTCCCACCCTATCCTTTGCATTGCTTTGTAGTAAGTGGAATGCAAGGGTAGAGCAAAAGGCATATTTATGGCTGTAGTTTTCCTATGCAAGTTCACCAATATTTTATAATAGTTCATCAAGTTTTAATCCATCTTATCCACACGTTCACCCATCCCATCACACACATCTCACCACACTCTCACTCTCTAGGCGGCAAGGGCGACTCCCTCTCGTGCCTTGCCTTATCGGCTAACAGCCGAAAACCAACAAACCTAGGGGAGAAGAAGAAATGACTGCTCTCACTAATCGAGGGAAGCGTAGGTCATAGGAATGTCCATATCCGCGAACGCGGCTATACGTATAGATCGATCAACTCTGTAGAGCGTGTACACCTGGAACCACAAGATCACCATCATCAACGGTGGCCACCGTCTAGGCTGATACCGGCTGCCTCCCAACCGGTACGATGTCACCCTGCCACTCAGCCCTGAGTCACCCCGAAGTCCATCGGCACACTGAGACTGTGAGACGTAGTACCGGGCCCTCAAGGTCACTACGCTGTCTTAGGAGGGTGTGAGACATACACCCGTACCTCCTTACACTATCACCTACATCCTAGGCAGTAGTGGCATCGCCCTAGTTGGTCGGGTAACCGTCTCCCGCCCATTCAGGAACGAGTGGTGTGTACATAGGGTCCTATGATCCGATTCTCTCGACATACCAGTCCTTAGGGAGGACTAGATAGGACATCTTCTCAAGTGGGGTTAACCGACACCCTGTGCCTCGACGGCACCTCCTCCCCAGGGGCTCACCCCTGCAAGGCATCCCGAGGTCTACTCCACTCACATGTACCCGCCACAGGTGCCACTCATCATAGAGGATGCTCAGGTCACACCCTCCCAGCAAGACTTGTCCCAAGGACTCGTCGTAGAATCCTGTCCGGTCGACTCAACCCTCACCACACGCCCAAGATGTATGCCAAGATCTCCTCAAGTTATTACCACATTATCGGCACCGAGTGCCATAGCCACTCACAAACAATCAGAATCATTTTACCATCTTTCATCTTTCAGTTCTTACTATGGTGCTAGACCATAGTCAAGTTGTACCGTCTCACAGAAACAACATTTCGTGAACCAATGTATCCCAGCTGGGTACCCCAAAACACACGCCCTGTTTGTACCCTAGACATAAACAAGACCAGCCCATTCTACTCCTGTCACAGGGTCCAGGTCCCCGTCTAAACTTGGACTCCAAGCCCCCACACTTGAGACCCGGTCTCAACATGGTGCTTAGACCTCCACCTTTCCCCGCCTCTAATCAGTCGGTCCGGAAAGAACCAAAACCCACGACAAGAGTGTAACGAGCCTTCCCGCTCCCATAAGCAAGTATGTGCTCCGGATAATAAGTCTGTGACCTGACTACCATCCACATCAACGGACGGTCCTTAATCGACACGAATAGAAAAAAATATAACCAAGCTAAGCCCCGTTGGCCGCGGGACACAACCTGTTACACCCACCAATACCCATACCATATCCCTGCCCTGTCTCCATTTTTTCTTTCATCATTTTATTATGAGAGTAATAATAATCCCCTATTGTGAGCAACGGCAAGTTACTCACGCTACCGATGACCTAAGCATAGCATCTTGTCGGGTTCATAAACCCGGGGTCCTCAATGGACCTGCTTCCCTACAAAACCCGGCCCAGCAGGCGACGCAGCGACAACGGGTACCTGGGCCGGCCTAGATACATAATGATAGGCTGGGACAACGATCCGATCTCCGACCGGAAGGCCTGGCTAAGGTGGGACTGCAGTCCGGTTCTGACCTCCTTCTCCAACCGAGGATACGCCAGACCTATGCTCGCTGCTCTTTTCTGACCAACACGGTCGGGACCGACTAGGAACGACTGACCGGGGATGCCCGCTCGAGGAGGGCCCGAGGATCAGGCGGAGCAGATAAGATAAGGCGCTCAAGTCAACCGTAATACCGAGAACCGTACCCTGCCATGCCCTACGCATCTGTAGGACGGTGCCACCAGGCCATGCCAGATGGGCACTATACAATCTTCTAGATGTATCAGAGCACAAATATTATTGTAGGCGCCGACATTTGCCATACCAGGCGAACACGGTAGAGCCTGCCAGATGCGTCTGAACATAAACAATATTGTGGGTGCCAATAACCGTCTCGTACCCGACAGCGTAGGCAACAAGACTAGGTAGCACATGTATACACACGCTCTCTCTCTCTCTCTCTTTCTGATTTGTAAGGCCATCCCCTTCAACTATAAAAGGGGATGAGCTCTCTCCTAAAAGACACACTCTCTCTCTCGGAAAAAAGAGGCTAGACGACTCGAGGACTCGATGACCTGAGGACTCAAATAGTTCAACAACTCTAGACCTCGACAGCTACACAGAGCATACGCTCCAATACTTAGCGTGTGTTAGAGCTCCTGTAACTCTCTTCCATTCAGCTCAGAGTCCGACCGGGTCTCTAACACCCCCCTTATCATTCCTCACTCGTTTATAACCCCACAGCAAACTTCGAGCACCTAGGATCAGGAATAAAGTCACCGACCGACTAAAACTAGACGTAGGGCACGTTGCTTGAGCCAGTCTAAATCCTGTGTCATTGAGTGCTAGGCCACATCCGATCACAACGCACGACAAAACTACAAATATTTACTTGTTGGTCAAATTTTGCACCAACACATCTACTTGAACCT